GAAGATCAAAGACTACAGCCTTCAGTATGAATTGCACCTCAGCATAAAGAAAACAAAAATCCTCACAAGTGGACCAATAAGCAACATCATGATAAACGGAGAAAAGATTGAAGTTGTCAAGGATTTCATTTTATTTGGATCTATAATCAACATCCATGGAAGCAGCAGTTAAGAAATCAAAAGATGCATTGCATTGGGCAAATCTGCTGTAAAAGACTTCTTTAAAGTGTTAAAAAGTGAAGATGTCACTTTAAGGACTAAGGTATGCCTGACCCAAGCCACCATGATTTCAATCTCCTCATATGCATATGAAAGCTGGACAGTGAGTAAGGAAGACTGAAGAAGAATTGATGCCTTTGAATTTGGTTTTGGTGAAGAATACTGAATATACCATGGGCTGTCAGAAGAACAAACAAATCTGTCTTTGAAGAAGTACAACCAGAATGCTCCTTAGAAGCAAGGATGGCAAGACTTCGTCTCACATACTTTGGACATGTTATTAGAAGGGACCAGTCCTTGGAGAAGGACATCATGCTTAGTAATGTAGAGGGTCAGCGAAAAAGAGGAAGACCCACAATGAGATGGATTGATACAGTGGCTGCAACAATGAGCTCAAGCATAACAACAATTGTGAGGATGGCACAGGACTGCACAGTTATTTGTTCTGCTGTACACAGGGTTGATATGAGTTGGAACCAACTTGATGGCACCCAACAACAACTACAACAGTGGGGGTGAAGATGTACTTCGTTCTGGTTGTGATTTGTTTTTTTCTGATGGCTATATTACATATCACCACACCAAAAAAATCCTAAAAATGTTATTTAGAAGTCATAGTATGTCACTGAAAAATTTAAACTTTAAGTGTCTCACACAGAAAGATTAGGGAATACAGATTGAGGAAATTCTTTATATTACTAATTTCATGTTCTTAGCCTTGTTTCTAAACCCTAGAGTTAAAAGAAAGCATATTTAGGCTAAGGCATGAGAATAAATAACACCTAAGTCTATTTTTCTGTTTTTAGGTTATCCCTTATTTTTTCCTCTTATTTCTTCTTCTTTTGTTTATAAACAGTAAATATTCATTTTTTTTGGAAGATTATGATGTGGTAGGTATCAATATTTAATGTGGGAGTGGGAAATGCTAGACAGAAAAATACTAAGATGATGCCTGCCCTTTTTCCCCAAGAATAGGAACATATATTTACTCCTCAAAGTTCAGTGTATTTGTCCAGTTCAGCACTTCGTCCACTTCCCATTCCATCACAGAATCTATTCCACCATCTTCAATAGCTCTTATTAGCCCTTTTGTTGCTGTGTGAATTAAACCTATAGTTTCATAATTTGTTGACTTAGCTTCCAGATGTCCTGTATAGTACCTAAACAAAGGAAAGGAAAGGAGACATGAATCCTTCGGAATAGGTGATTACAAGTAGATGCAGTTGATACATGTTGTGGAACTACTCATATATTAAAACAAGTTTTCATCCTGCATAACTCAGATGTATGTAAACCAAGATCTCTATATGATGGGATCTTTTAGGGAAAACAACAACAACAACTTGATCAAGCATACTAACCATAGAGGACTCATTTCAGAATCATCTCTTAATAGTTACATTTTAAGGATACAAAGAAAAACTGAGTTACTAAATCACTGAACCATAGAATTCTAGAGCTGAAAGGATCTTAGAGACCAATTAACTAGCCCATTCATTTTATAGGTGAGGAAAAAAATCCTGGAGGAGTTGAATAACTTTTACAAGATCACCTGGCTAATGACAAGTAGGAAGAGGGAAAGAAAGGGGAAAAGGAAAGATAGATAACGTGAAGAGGAAATAGGCTTTGCGAGGCTGAACATGAGCGCATTCGTGCATTTTGCTCGTTCACTACTGTTTGCTAAGTCATTGTTATGTAAGTCCCTGACATGTAGCTACTATTGGTCACCATCATTATAAAACCTCCACTCCCCCACTGTGGGGCACGGAGATCTGCTGGTCCTGCTGCTGCCCAGGACCTGTCTCATATGTAAGTCTCCCTAATAAACTCCTTTGC